CATGAATTGGAATATTTTGTATAGCCTTAAATTATCATAAATAAATAAATAAATAAATAAATAAATAAATATATAAATAAATACCAAAAAAAAAAAAAAAAAAAAAAACTGGTCATGGTTCTTGCAATATTAGAACTGTTCAATCTCTACACCCGGTGTTCTGACCATGCAGGTCTCACAGGGAACTGGAATACTTACTGAATGTTTGGCTTGCTGTATGGCATTCTCTAACTCAGAAGGGATCATCCTCCCTGTGTCATCACAGGGAACTGGGATGAGATTGTCAAGGCCTATTCCTAACAAAGCAAAGGCTTTCTTCAGGGAATAATGGGACTGAAAGATAAAATATGTACAGTTTATAATGTGTAATCTGTAGACTACTTTCTATATCAGATTTGCTTTGTATATTACTGCTAGATAACATTTGCTTGACTCAATTGTGTGAAAATATAAGCAAAGAAAAGTATCTGACATTTGCTAAAACTAACATCAATTTTGAACAACAATTGTTTAATCTATTTACTCATAAACAATTAATTCATAAATAATCGCGTCTAAACTTGACCTGCAGGCGAATCTAGTAACTACACAAACTAAGTCTGATGAAACCTTCAATTCAAGAACATATTACACCAAATCAAAATTAGTAGGCACATCCAATGTAATCATATATATAACACTTCACACAATTAGTAAGCACATCCAATATATAACCATATCTATGACATCCTGCACAATTGCTGAGCACATCCAATACAGTCACACCTAACACAATTGACTGACACACACACACACGCAAACACACACACACACACACACACACACACACACACACACTAAATTACCTGTTGTGATGTAAAACCACATATTCTTGGTAGTGCTTGCATTCCTTTGCTCTTAATCTCTGGAAACTTACTGAAGCGGGCCAGGTTGACACCATATATGTTGGCAATTGACCCTCCTAAATGAAAAGATAATTCCTGAATGACTAAATGTTATGTTTGCTGTAGTAGTGTAATTAATGCTGTTGTTTGACTCTCAGAACATAAATAGTGCTGAGTGTTCTTAGCTTAAACAGCAAAGTTTCATGACTAATATTTTTGATTTTAAGATGACTAAGACTTTGTATATAATCTTAATATACTAGTAACCGCAAGATAATTTGGTAAACAGAAATCAAATTTAAGACCCATAAGTCTCTGACACTTATCAATTCATGTACAAGCTCCCTCCATACTAGAAACTCTGCCTTCATGAAATCCTGTCCTACAGGAACAATTATCTATAGAAATAAATAAAATATAAACTGCATAAGGTGTGGCTTTGATCACATCTTTGAACAAATACCTGGTGTAAAAATGCCATCACCCTCTCCCCCAGGATAGCCGACCAACTTCCTCAAGTTCATCAGGACTTCCTGTTCTATCAAGGTGAAGGCAGGGGCCATCTCATATGTGTAACTGGAGGTAGAAAAAAATATACTATTATTTCTGCTAATAGTGGCGCAGGTAATAATATAAATAATGCCATATTCTTAGAGAACCTGTTCTACCTACACCATCCCAAGTGTCCTTAAGTACAGCTGATTTTGTGGTTAAAAATAAATACAATTCCCTCTTTTTTATTTTTTGTCAAGTTGCTTTGTACATAATTTTCCACTTTGCTGCACAAGCACACTGTATCATTTTTTTAAACTCAAAAACATTAAAAAATTACCTGATTTTCAGAATAATAGAAAACCAGTGCAAAAAGTTAAAACTTTGCTTATGAAAAACAGCACTACATTTTTCACATGCTAGTGTTCAGTTAAAATTGAAAACATAATTTTCTGGATGACAGGCAGGGCCAAAAGAAAACAGAAAAAAATTATAATCTTAATTCTTTACCTGCTTGTATTAAGTGCCTCTGTCACCCAGGCCCCAGCAAGCCCCTTGACGTCAAAACCTTGAAACAGCTGGTTGAAAAAGTGGGGATGACCTGAAATCCAAAGTTAAAGGTGAAGACTGGGAATAAAGCCATTATCTCTGCAGTATATATATATATATATATATATATATATATATATATATATATACTGGCGCCTTGAAATATCATGCAGCATCATACCAAAATGCACTCACCCGACTTGACACTGTACTGGATAGTTTTTCTACACATTTCAAGCAATTGTCCATCCTCACATCCTTCGTGACCTAGCTGGATGTCCAGTTTTGTGGCAAGTTCCTCAGGTTGCTGGAACTCCAGTACTTTGCTTAATGATAAATTATAGAAAATTTGACTAATTACAATTCCAGGCAACATTTCTTGATCATTTCATTTATCACGAAAAAGAAAAATAATTTCAAAAGAAACTGCATGAACATGCTCTTTTTACCAATGATCAAGACATATGATGCTTCAGGGGTTGAAAAATGAACAGTTGCTTTTCAAAGAATTTTTTTAAAACATACATACACAAGACACAATAAGATACATTTCATAGTATTATGTCACTTGTAAATGCATGTATTTTATTTTATTTTATTTTTTTGCTTTAGCTTTTCACTTACTCACTATTATAATTAGAGACATATAAAAAATAAAAATCTTGCCACCTTTTTGGATCAGTCCCCTTCTCGATAGCCTCAGACATCATCATATCAAACACATCTTCCAAGAACTTTTGACTTTTGCTCCGGTGATGACGTCCATTATGAGAGCTGCCATTTTGTCCTGTTACGTGTACCATCCCATTCCCAACTGCCCCATTGCGACTCCCAGCATGCTTTCCATTTTGGATACCAGACGAGTTGTAAACAAAGGGATGGTCTGAGAATGGAGAAAATTGTATTAAAAGGAATGAGACTGCACTACTATATAAAATCAAAAAATAATAATATAAATAAATAAGTAAATAAATAAATAAATAAATAAATAGTTTTTTTACCTGTCAAAACATAAAAAATGAAGATAGAAATTCAGTATTTCATAGGGAAAAATGATATCACACAAAACTGACAGAGCTTAGAAAACAATTATAATTAAAGACACTGATATTCATAATTAAACAATCATACTATAATAATAATATTAATAATAATATTAATAATAATAATAATATTAATAATAATAACTAGAGGATCAGAGATGCGATACCGCCTCCAAATATTGTACCACCAGCTGGAGCAAACGCATTCATATAGACCCCCANTATGGATTGGAATATTTTGTATAGCCTAAAATTACCATAAATACTTAAATAAATAAATAAAGTGTTTAGCTACCAGCATAAAAAAAACATTGGTCATGGTTCTTGCAATGATAGAATTGTTCAATCTCTACACCTGGTGGCATGCTGCTGTTCTGACCATGCAGGTCTCACAGGGAACTGGAATACTTACTGAATTTTTGGCTTGCTGTATGGCATTCTCTAACTCAGAAGGGATCATCCTCCCTGTGTCATCACAGGGAACTGGGATGAGATTGTCAAGGCCTATTCCTAACAAAGCAAAGGCTTTCTTCAGGGAGTAATGGGACTGAAAGATAGAATATATACAGTTTACAATGGGTAATCTGTAGACTACTTTCTATGTCTGATTTGCTTTGTATATTACTGCTAGACGTCATTTGTTTGACTCAGTTGTATGAAAATATAGGCAAAGAAAAGTATCTGACATTTGTTAAACCTAACATCAATTTTGAACATCAATTGTTTAATTTATTTACTCATAAACAATTAATTCATAAATAATCGCGTCTAAACTTGACCTGCAGGCGAATCTAGTAACTAAACAAACTAAGTCTGATGAAACCTTCAATTCAAGAACATATTACACCTAATCAAAATTAGTAGGCACATCCAATGTAATCATATATAACACTTCACACAATTAGTAAGCACAACACTTCACACAATTAGTAAGCACATCCAATATATAACCATATATATATGACATCCTGCACAATTGCTGAGCACATCCAATACAGTCACACCTAACACAATTGACTCACACACACACACACACACACACACACACACAATAAATTACCTGTTGTGATGTAAAACCACATATTCTTGGTAGTGCTTGCATTCCTTTGCTCTTAATCTCTGGAAACTTACTGAAGCGGGCCAGGTTGACACCATATATGTTGGCAATTGACCCTCCTAAATGAAAAGATAATTCCTGAATGACTTTGTTATGTTTGCTGTAGTAGTGTAATTAATGCTGTTGTTTGACTCTCAGAACATAAATAGTGCTGAGTGTTCTTAGCTTAAATAGCAAAGTTTCATGACTAATATTTTTGATTTTAAGATGAGTAAGACTTTGTATATAATCTTAATATACTAGTAACCGCAAGATAATTTGGTAAACAGAAATCAAATTTAAGACCCGTAAGTCTCTGACACCTATCAATTCATGTACAAGCTCCCTCCATACTAGAAACTCTGCCTTCATGTAATCCTGTCCTACAAGAACAATTATCTATAGAAATAAATAAAATATAAACTGCATAAGGTGTGGCTTTGGACACATCTTTGAACAAATACCTGGTGTAAAAATCCCATCGCCCTCTCCCCCAGGATAGCCGACCAACTTCCTCAAGTTCATCAGGACTTCCTGTTCTATCAAGGTGAAGGCAGGGGCCATCTCATATGTGTAACTGGAGGTAGAAAAAAATATACTATTATTTCTGCTAATAGTGGCGCAGGTAATAATATAAATAATGCCATATTCTTAGAGAACCTGTTCTACCTACACCATCCCAAGTGTCCTTAAGGACAGCTGATTTTGTGGTTAAAAATAAATACAATTCCCTCTTTTTTATTTTTTGTCAAGTTGCTTTGTACATAATTTTCCACTTTGCTGCACAAGCACACTGTATCGATTCTTTAAACTCAAAAACATTAAAAAATTACCTGATTTTCAGAATAATAGAAAACCAGTGCAAAAAGTTAAATCTTTGCTTATGAAAAACAGCACTACATTTTTTACATGCTAGTGTTCAGTCAAAATAGAAAACATAATTTTCTGGATGACAGGCAGGGCCAAAAGAAAACAGAAAAAAATTATAATCTTAATTCTTTACCTGCTTGTATTAAGTGCCTCAGTCAACAGGGCCCCTGCTAGCCCCTTGACGTCAAAACCTTGAAACAGCTGGTTGAAAAAGTGGGGATGACCTGAAATCCAAAGTTAAAGGTGAAGACTGGGATTAAAGCCATTATCTCTGCAGTATATATATATATATATATATATATATATATATATATATATATATATATATATATATATATATATATATATATATATATATATATATATATATATATATATACTGGCGACTTGAAATATCATGCAGCATCATATACCAAAATGCACTTACCTGACTTGACACTGTACTGGATAGTTTTTCTACACATCTCAAGCAATTGTTCATCCTCACATCCTTCGTGATCTAGCTGGATGTCCATTTTTGTGGCAAGTTCCTCAGGTTGCTGGAACTCCAGTACTTTGCTTAATGATAAATTATAGAAAATTTGACTAATTACAATTCCAGGCAACATTTCTTGATCATTTCATTTATCATGAAAAAGAAAAATAATTTCAAAAGAAACTGAACATGCTCTTTTTACCAATGATCAAGACATATGATGCTTCAGGGGTTGAAAAATGAACAGTTGCTTTTCAAACAATTTTTTTTAAACATACATACACAAGACACAATAAGATACATTTCATAGTATTATATGTCACTTGTAAATGCATGTATTTTATTTATTTATTTATTTTTTTTGCTTTAGCTATTCGCTTACTCACTATTATAATTAGAGGCATATAAAAAATAAAAATCTTGCCACCTTTTTGGATCAGTCCCCTTCTCAACAGCCTCAGACATCATCATATCAAACACATCTTCCAAGAACTTTTGACTTTTGCTCCGGTGGTGACGTCCATTATGAGAGCTGCCATTTTGTTCTGTTACGTGTACCATCCCATTCCCAACTGCCCCATTGCGACTCCCAGCATGTTTTCCATTTTGGATACCAGACGAGTTGTAAACAAACGGATGGTCTGAGAATGGAGAAAATTGTATTTAAAGGAATGAGACTGCACTACTATATAAAATCAAAAAATAATAATATAAATAAATAAATAAATAAATAAATAAATAAATAAATAAATAAATAGTTTTTTTTACCTGTCAAAACATAAAAAATGAAGATAGAAATTCAGTATTTCATAGGGAAAAATGATATCACACAAAACTGACAGAGCTTAGAAAACAATTATAATTAAAGACACTGATATTCATAATTAAACAATCATACTATAATAATAATATTAATAATAATATTAATAATAATAATAATATTAATAATAATAATAAAATCACTCAAGAAAAGTGTTTTAAAGTATACATGAATTTTGCTGTACCAAGTACTGTAGCATGACCTATAGACAATGTTATATGAGCTCCACCGAACAAATATTTACCTGCACCATTCTGATGATCCACTTTCCTATACTTCATCATCTTTTCTGACAAGGCCATTCTTCACTGCAAAGAAAATCATGTCACTATATTCTTTAAGCTGGGAGCTAGCACATCAGGTCTAAAGATACAGACTAATGTAAGTAAAGGAATCTGAAAGAGAAACGCTTGTTATATATATATATATATATACCCTTTTAAATTGGTCCATGAGTGCATGACGGATATGAAAGGTGATTCTTGTAATTTATGGCTGTTGGTGAGAGAAAATGCACAAACAAAAATATTGCACCATACTCTCAGTGCTCAGTACAATTGACCACCTTATCAAGGGGGAACACACATTACTTACAGCATTACTGTCACTATAATGTATAACCTAATACCTTGGTTTAAGAAGTTATGTTCCCCATCATTCCATATGATATTTTATAAAGCAAGTGTCCAGGTACAATTAAATGTGAGTGACCTAGCTTACAGCATTGCCAACCACTATTGAGTTAAAATACACTGGCATGCTGTAGCTCAATTCTTACTTACTCACCAGCACACTATACTTCAATTACATGTACAAGTAACCAGAGAGTTCAAGTACAAAATGCATCATTGCTAAGTCATTTTCTGTTTGAATATATTCATGATTCAGCAGAATCACTGTCACGTTTATATTCCTTACAGGTCATTTCTCTTCTCAGGACAAGTGATAGTTTCAAGGCAACAGGGGTGAGGGGTTTCAGCAAGGCAGCCATACAGTAGAATCACTGTCACGTTTACATTCCTCACAGGTCATTTCTCTTCTTAGGACAATTAAATAAGTGATGGTTTCAAAGCAACGGGGGTGAGGGGTCTCGGAAAGGCAACCATCACTCCACTTAAAATTAGCTAAGATTTCTTAATAAGTGTCTGTATCCTTTTAAAACAACAGACAGTTTTTTTTTTTTTTTTTTTTTGCCAATAGTTTATCACATGCTCCCATTAGAAGTGGACATGACTTTAAGCATGAAATACTGCACAGTGACTTAATTGACCTCAGATATATCAGTGTTAAACTTGACCTCAGATATGTCAGTGTTAATCTTGACCTCAGATATATCAGTGTTAAACTTGACCTCAGAAATGTCAGTGTTAAACTTGACCTCAGATATGTCAGTGTTAAACTTGACCTCAGATATGTCAATGTTAAAGTAAACATTATCATATGCTGTCTGAATGAAAAAAAAAATCAACTGAAGATTTTCAACATTTACGAAATGGGAAGAATCTTTATAATTACCTCCTAATTATAAAGAGAGAGAGAAAAAAGAATTTTGCATGGCCAAACTGGAATTAATCGTAATTTTGAAGAAAAAGTGAGAAAAAAAAACAAAAAAAAAACACACAAAATGTGATGTAGGGATTATACAAACGGCAGTGTTCTGTTTGAAGTATATTTTCCTTTCTTTCTTTCCACCTAAAGGATGCAAGATGTAAAAAAGTATTACAAATAATCATGCATACTTGTAAAGTTTTCAGTCTATTTCACATATATTAATGAATTTGCGCAGTGTTAATTACTGCCACAAAAAGCCAGTAGTCTACCTTGGGTAAAATAATTATGATAAATGACAGGCTCCACCATCCTGATCTTTCTCTAAATACTTTGATGAATACCTCTGGATTCCCAACATCTCAAGCCTCCCAGACATACAGAGATGAGACTGATAACTAATTGAAAAAAAAAAAAGAGAGATGAGACTGACAACTTATTTAAAAAAAAAAGTCTATAAAAATACAACCAGTGGTCAAGACCTCCCCGTCCTACCCATCCACAGTGTTTCCTGAAGATAGATCTGCACTAATCTCAAAAATGATATTTTTGGCTCCCAAAGAGTAGGAAATCTGCCAATAATTGGGAAAATCTCATATCCCTGCATGGACATATCCAAATCTGTCTATATAACAGTGTTTTTTTAAAGTGGTTTGGCATTTGTGACCAAAGAGTGCACGACCCCTGCTTAGGTAATAAAGGTGCAATTTGTTACCCAACTTAACACTGGAGACATTCAGTTAATAGCTTTGTTTGTCTTAGTGATTTAACTGTATGGAAATATTGAAGGAAGCAATAAATTTCTCAGGTTACCCATGGAATTTCAAAACAAGAAGAGAGAACTTTAGTTAAAAGGTAAACAACCCTTCTTATGAGATTCAAAATTCCACAATAAATATGTTGTAAATAATACACAGAAATATAATCAATTGCAGGAATTCAGTTAACAGTTCTGTTTGTTTTAACAAATGGAGATGAGGTAATAAATAAGGTAAGTAAATAAGTGGAGAATTTAATAGAGGTAAATATGTTTTTTTTAATGATTCAAAACCTGGCATGCATAAATTCCATCCACAAATAAATTGCCTCTACAGTATATGCCTCTACGGTGGTCTTTTTTCTATCATTTATTTAAAAGGATGATAATAAAAAATATAATTTTTACTCAGTTGGCACCTACTTAAATCCAAAAAAATATTTATTGGGGTTAAAATTTTAAGAGAAAAGTTTAAATATGCTTTTAGCCCCCACTCCCCCTTGAGAGAAAATAATTTTATTAAAATAATTTTTAAAAAATTATAATAATAATAATAAAATTAATAAATAAATTATCACTTTCCAAAAACAAAAATCCATCATTTTGAAAATAATTATATTCACTTACCAATTTGTTCCAATGTTAGATCTACTCCAGTGGGGACAAGCGGTATATACGCAATGAAAACTCATTACACCACAAGTGCATTTTTCTTGGCCCCAGCGAGGCCAAGAATGATCGAAACTTTCCATCCACCGCTTCGAAGGAACTTTTCCATGAGCCCCAATTCTCTTTGTACAACAAATCAAATGAAGGCATAGCGGAAAATCACCACATTATTGACCTTTACTGTACAAACAGGGTTACGTCAATATTTCACGTATAGGAACTGTGTTGAAAATTCCCTTCTTTCCAAGTGCTGCCACCTATATTATACAATCCGGTTAGGATCATGGCTGAGGTAGGGCAGTTAGAAGATGCGGCTTTAAAACGTAAAGAGCGTCTCCGTCGAATGCGTCAGAGAGCTGAGGGAGATGGGGAAGGTTTGGAAGCTCCTGACGCCAAACGATCAGCAGGAAACGAAAATGAAATGCTTCCAAAGTAAGTAACAATTATCATTGGTAACAACTAGCGCGTGGCCAAGAATCTACACCGTATACGTAGATGAAATAGGCACTTTGTCCCAAGCCACAAGGTTTGTCTTGAGAATCGCAAAACTTTGCTGAAACACAAACACAGTCCACGTTTTACATCTATTAATTAACATGAAATGAAACTTAATTTACTCTATAATATCATAATTTAACTTACCTTGATTTAAATGAAACTGACAGAAATCCTGTTAATCCCAACAGACGTTTTTTTCACCCGAAAATCAATGTCACCAAAAGTTTGTACTTGTATATTTTGTATCCCCAGCTGGTTTAGAATTCCCAGCAAATCAGTGGTTTCAGGCGCCTTTTTCTAAAATCTTGAAGTTAAGAGATGAGCTTTGCTAGCATGTGTTTCCACTAGTTAAAATATAAAACTTTGGGACATCATGTCTTGTTCAGTGCCAAATAAACTTGTCATATCTCCACCTCAGTGTGATGAATGTGTTAGAGGTGACAGCTGACAGGTTTTCACAACTAACAATGCAGGAAACAGATTCAAATAACCTTATTCACTTTATCATTTAATGCTGATTTGATCAGATTCCTTTTGAATTTGGTTACTCATTGAAAGGTCTGGTTTTGTTCTTTAAGCAGTTATCATCATGTGTTACATGTATTTTTTAATGTTTGTAACAATCTACCTTGAATGATGTTATGACACTGATAAAATGATGTTTTCTAGTCGTGCTGTGTTTTCATGTTTATTGGGGAAAGATTATATCCTGTACCACTTTTTGGATAATTTGTAGGCCAGTATTTAGGAGTTACAAGCCTCAGGATGAGAATCTGAAAGAAAATGCACTTCCCCAAATGATACCCTCAAAAGGTAAGCAATCGCTCAAAGCAATGCTCATGATGCTGTCATGTTGAAGATTATTCCATTCTCTGTCATATAAAGATGATAAAAACAAATTGTGTTTGAAGACACTGAATGAGGCAATCATGTGAAAACTCTTGGGAAAGGCCATGTCTCTTAGGTAGAAAATGACATTTAATCTCTTCAGAAATGATATACTTTTTAACCAAGATTTTTCTTGGACATCATAAAGTGTCTTCATATTCCCTTCCACCCTTTTCACATTTTAGGTAAATAAAAATCATTTCTGTGTCTGAGAATGGAGAACATCTTTACGTCTGACTTAAAATGTGTACAAAAACTGAGATGATCGTAGTAAGCAGAGTAGTCATTTTCTTCTTCAGTGAAATAGTCAAAGCAGAAAAGAAGAGGCTTTGTATTTCATTATCATACTGGTACACTTCAAAAAAAGTTAAGGAACAATTTATACTTTCTCTACTAAAGAATGTTATCAGCCATATTACTGCATCTTTTACTGTGAAATGCAAATGTTCCCTTTGTGTCTATTTTTCATAGTTGAAGAACATGTCAAAGACCACCTAGAAGCTGCCAAACCTGAGCCTGTAGTGGATGAAATAGTAAGTCTCATTTCTATATTCTCATCCTAGTATACAGGTGTACTAATATGTTTTAACTGATCAGTGATATTTTTGATTTCTTCTTAGATAACAAGGGCAAACTGAATAAAGTTTAGATAAAAATTGTAAAATGTAAATTAAAGGCATTTTCACTGCAGATTTTATAAAACAGAATAGAATAGAACACAACACATCAGTACTGATATGTTTTGAGAATTGACAACTTGATGGCGTTTCCTAAACGGACCTTCCTCGCATGACACAACCAATCAGTGAACTTCCACAGGTGCATATCATCTTATGGAGAATTTGAGAAAAGGAGCAAAGTAACGATAACACTCAATTGTTAATACAGTCTTGGTCACAATGACGGCTTGTTTGTGGGTAGCCATCATATCAACAAAGGGATATCTGATGTAATAGTGCTATAACACTGATTTCATTATTCATCAGGATCTGACGAACCTAGCTCCAAGAAAGCCAGACTGGGATTTGAAGCGAGATGTGGCAAAGAAGCTGGAGAAGCTGGAAAGGCGAACCCAGAGAGCAATTGCAGAGTTGATCCGTAAGTTCAAAGTTTGAGAATTATAGTTTGTCAAGCAGGTTCCTCAATAAGGAAACCACCTGTGAGATTAGTTAGAAAAGTGATTTTGTCCAAGTTAGGAAAAGTATATAGATTTTAAGCCCTCTAAAGATCATGTGTTTTGGCTAAACAAATTATATTCGATTTGGTAACTACATTTTAGAGACAACAACATGAATTGAAAAAAAAGTATTTTTTTATTTATTAAGACAATATATCATTGCGTGGGTGTCATGTTTTCAATTAGGTTTGAAAAGAGAATTAAAAAATAAACCTAGTGTGACTCAGGAATCTTGATACGATTTCCATGATTGATAAGTGATATGTGAAATTAAGGATGCCATTTCTCATGTTGACTTTTTTTGGATTTTTAGATTATTTCAGTTTCTGTTCAAAGTTTATGTTACAGTTAATGAGTCAGTTAGTAGTGTATGTTGAAGTATGTAAATTTTCCCTTACATTTAGTTAAAAAATGTTGATTATAATTTCAGGAGACCGTTTACAAGCAGGAAAAGAAGACTTGGCCACCGCAGTGAATGCTAGCGCTGAAGTCATGCAGAAAGTGGGCGATGACGCAGATGATGATGATGATGAAGAGAACTGAAACAATAAGCTTAATTGTTTTTGGTTGAAAACAAGGGTTTTCCCAGAACAATCCAGCTGGAATTTCCAAGGCCACCAGCATCACCAGATGGCCTTTCTTTCCAAAGACGGCTGGACTGCTTGACAAATTTTTGGAAATATGAAATAGGCATACTTGGAATCCCTGAAAATTTGTAGGAAATTACAGGTGGTAATTTTGGACGGCCAAATCCTGGAAAAAAACCTGGTTGAAAATGGCTGCAACTGAAGCAGTACATCATTTTTAGTATGATCATATATATATATATATATATATAAGAAGGATGCTGATGGGGAAAGGAGGGCAGTTATTTCCTCAAAGACTCAGAGCCGGCTTCTGAATGTGTGACAAAACAAAAATATTAGTGACATCTCTCAGAGATAAAGTCTACTCAATTTATCTGGAAAGCCAGATTTTGGCATGTTGCCCTCAGACCCCTAAATTGTAGAAGTTTGGATTTTCAGGATTTTTTTAAGATCAACATAGACTGGACAGGTCACACAATGGAGTGCTAGATTGTGTTGAAGGTAGCCTGCATAGATAAAATCAGGAATTTACAGCATTTGAAGGGCCTGGTGCCTTGTTAATCTTTTTTATTACTATAAATACTAGTATATGTACCATTTAATACCATGATATTGAAATAAAAATGTAAAAATAATTATCTGTTATATTAAAAAAAACCTCCACTTGCTGTTTCCACCCTACTGTATCCACTTCAGCAACTACTATGGTGTGAAAGTAAATTATTTTCAAAGTAACTATGAGCACCTCCCCACTCCCACAAAAAAAATTAATTAGTAAATAAAATGAAACTGTAGTGAGTAAAGTTAATTAAATATCCACTACTTCAAATCTACTGTAATTTTTTCATAAAGTTTGAAAATAAAACTGTCCTTAAAAGCTATCAGACTGTGCATAAAATGTCTTGTGTCTACAATAATGAATGAATAAATGAAAATAAAATTATTCATCTTTTCAATCTTTTATTCTTCAAAACCTATATATAGATAAGGCTGACATAATATAAACAACTGCCAAGCTCTTTGCATGAGAAACAGAAAAATTGCCCAAGTTTCAATTTGGGGACCATATTCTTATCAATCACAGCCTTGAAGAATCTAATCAAAACTTCAACTGAAGCCAATCAGAAATAATTTGGTTAAATTTGCAATGCGAATTCTCATAAGTGATGTATGTACTTATGACCAGAAAATGTAAAAGAAAAATATCACATAACTTTTTTAATCTGTGTAAAAATCACTTGGCTGTCTTCATTAATATTGCTCAAATAGTGAAAAAGAAATTGAAATGTATGTATCAACAATACCAATGTATCTATGAAAATCAGTTGGTCAGAAAATATTGCCAACCCTTACATTGGGCAAAACTGGCCATTCAACAATGGTAATAAGTGAAGATATTAACTTTTATATATTCCAAGGTATCAAATCAATTGCACAGCACATTGTAAAGGAGAAATTTTGTCCCTGATTGCGTGGTCCATAAATTAATACTTTTGTATATATTACAGCAGCTAAACATGCTAACATTTCTTTTTCTTGCCTAATCCCCCATCAGACCATAGTTACAACAAAAGCACTCCTATTAATGTCTTTTAATGCAAGTCCAACTTAGCTCCTAAACAGCCAACAACCCTGAACACATTTTGCCTCCAATGTACAGCAGTTTTTGCTTGCTCCAATACAAAATCTAATAAATAACAATATTTAAAAACTCCTATTATGTTGCATAATACCACGTGCAAAATTCTATGGAATGTCCGAGTACTATTCTGGAAGTAGGATGATCTCCACTTTATCATGCACGCCCTGCAACAGCAGTTCTCCATCGTATTTAATAATCTTCCTCTTTTTTGCTGCTTTCAGGGTTCCTACCAGGGCTTCAAAAATGTTGGCACAGCGGTCATCACTGAACAGTGTCCCAAATGTCAGCACATATGATCCATCATCTCCTTAATTATATATAAAAAAAAAGATTATTAAATTTGTAAAATTACCAAAAAGAGGATTTTCTGTAAAAAATTATTAAACATCTAAATTGTTCAAAGATACTGTCAAAGGTTTACTTATCTCAAATGATAAAAAAAGACATATACTTTTAAACAAAATTAAGCAAAACAGTGTGAACAGATGCTCAATATCTTGGTATTATTTTTATCTTGATCTGTTATGTCACTCTCACTGTATATTACTAGCAGATGAATGTCCATTTACAGTAAGATAAAAATGTATCATCTTTGATACAGGGTGTTTTGAATTTTGCTGCCTGACACTGAAATCTAAAAAATCACTTCTTTAACAATTATAAATAGGCGCATCTTCAGTTTAAAAATGACAAGCAAGTAAACTTACTTTTTTCTCCAAGTCTTTCCCTGATCTCAGTCTTAAGCAAGTCTATTTCGTGATCCACATTCATTTCAATTATCTATAAAACATAACAAGATCGCAAATGAGATGAACCAAATTTTCTGTCAGGTAGTATCATCGGCTATAATAATTTATTTTGGGGGCGTGTCATTGCTCCTCGGTCTCAAGCCGTCAAGGAAGCTTACACGTAGTTATCATATATTTATTTTTATCGTGTTAAAAACAGGCTACCAGTGGTGTCAACTGGGTTGTAAAAGGGAAGTGATACACATCCTGAGTCAATAATCATTACAGCAGTTATCGTTAAGTTAACTTCCCAATTAAAACAATTTTGCCTACTTCATTGTGGGCAAACAAAGCAACCGGCATTTCCTATCTCCACGCGGTGACTCACTTTTCATCCGTCGACTACTGCCATTTTAGGTTAGAACATTCAGAGGCAAAAGTTTATTTCTTTTGTGTCTTAGCCTCTATGTACATTTGCGCATGATATATACTTACACCTCAACAAAAATCACCCTTGACAAAAGAAAAATACCTGTATTGGATAAGCAGGTAGAAGTACGAGGCCACTACTAGGCGGAAGTAAAGAGGAAGTACAAAGTGCGCGTGCCCCATGAATACATTGCGACGCATGCGCTTTACAATTATTTAGCCATTTTGAAAAATTTAGTGATCTTCGACTTGGATTTTTATCCATAAAAATATTGATCTGTACCCCAAAAATGGATATTGAGTGCATAAGATAGCGAACGGATCTTGCGAAGATGAACCAAAGGAATCAGATCCAGCCATTTCACAGTACTTCGCTAATGATTCGCCAGGAAATCCAGCGATTTGAGTCGGTCCACCCTAGCATTTATGCCATATATGATCTGATCGAGGCTATACCAGATCCTTTGGTCCAGCAGCAAGTACGCGAACATGTCGTCTGCATTGAAGGTAAGAAATACTAATTGGTAAAAACCAAATTTGCGAAGTATATTGAGAGCCTTCTGTCCTTTTTACCTCGGGAACTACACATGTGAAAGAGGAAACACAGTCGAATAAGTCTTTGTTTACAAACATTGAGGGGCGGTGTGTGTTTCAAATTGGGATTTGCGGTGAATCTGTAAAGCCATTCCAAACCTGTTTTTTATATGCTGATCCCATACACTACTGAAAAACACCATCCAGATCTAAAATTTCTAATTTTGTTAGTGTTTTATTTAGCTCTTTAGTTTAATGTGACCCAGAATTTCCCTTTGTCCAAAGTATTTACATTATTGAGCTTTCTTTTGTAAACTAACCTTTGTGTTTAGTGGGGTATTTACAGCAACCAGAAGCCAATAAAGTTATTTGATAGCTAAGCAATAATTTGTTTCAAATTATAAAAGCCTCCTTAATACATTTTAGGCAAGGTACTTGCCATGAAAACTGTAAGGGATATAAAAGATCTCATCTGGTATCTGTATGCATATTTTTTAACTGAGGACCAATGCACAAGTTGGCATAACTTTGTGCATTCTGCCAAAGCTCTACAGCTGTGATGGCTGTGATATTTAACATTCTTTTTACATGGGTCCTTTGCACACAAGATCACTTTCCTTGAATGTTTAGATCAGTTGGTTTACAGAGTTGAGGGATACTATGCATGCATATAAAAGGGGAAATGGACTGTGAAACATCTCCGATAATTGAAGGTATCCTGGCTTACCATCCATTTATAAATGCCAGTCAACAGTATAAATGTGTACTGTAAGCTATGATATCCATGCTATTATTAACTGATTAGATAGAAAATGAAATACTGGTTAGATTTCAGCCATTGAAATCTAGAAAAACATATATTGTATCAAAACTGTGTAGAAAGTCATTTTTGTGAGGGGTGTGATTATTTTTAATGCCCATGTTTAACATTCAGATATTTATTGCAAATCTAGCCTTCTAGACCTCGCCCTTGACAGTGTAAACTCATTTACTGTTCGTTTCTAACTTATATCCCAGAAACAGAACAATGGATCAAAATAAGTTATCAACAAAATAGATAACAGGTTTAGGAGCTATTTTAAGATCTGCCAACTTTCTGACATTGGTAGTATGACTATGTGATTATTTCACTTCTTAGTTCCATAAGACATGTGATGAGTAGTAAAGAGTTTCGGTACTCTTTGCATGCTTTTAGTTACAGTATTGCCAAAATAAGTGCAACTGTGAAAGGGGTGGTATTCTAAGAATGCCGAACACATGGCGTGAAAGTTGGCAGGTAGAACACATTTATGCTTATAGGGGTTAGTTTGAACTTATGATACAGCAGTTGTGGAGTTACATTAAGAATATTAACTCTCTTTTGAATAGAATCTCGTATCAGAGTGTCTAAAGCCATCTAAAAAGAAGCAGCTGTACTCCTGGTAGATAGGTGTTGATATTATATTAAAATATTTAATATTGAATAAGAACTTAAAATTTTCCCATAGGGGACTTGCTGGATAGGATGAACCTCACAGAACAGAGGCAGTGGGGAGACAATCAGCAAGTTAGTCTGCTCTGCTTTCATGTAGGGACTGTCATATTTGATCAGTGTCTCAGTACATCCGAGGATCTTCTGTTGTGAATGTTCTCTTAGTAGCCTAATTTTTTACAAATCATATTATTACATGGAGACTCCCAAGACATGCTTTGAACCCCATCATCACTTTCTTCACATTAGACTCGATATATTTCTCCTTGAATCTCCACTACCCAAGGTGTCTATGTTTCAATGTTGTTCAACATGGAAGTGTATAGAATTCAGGAATTATGTCATTGATCTCTGGTTAAAAGATGAAAACCCTCTCAGGCACACAGATACTTTTCATTTTGAATGTCAGTCTCTTCCCTATCTTTAAAACAGAATGTAAATGAGGATATATTTACTCTTGTTTACTTCAGACTGAGTTTTCTTACACTTCCATGTTAAATGTTTGCTGTCCAGTTTTGATTTCTCTATCACTGGGAAGTCTTCCTTGGAAAGTGATCTTCCCATCCATGTGTGCACGTCTTGTTGATCAAACACTTGCACATGTTCTCTTGGCATGAGGTTCTGTGCCACTTGGCCACTCCAGCTTTTAATTATTAACTTTGTTTCATTTTTTTCCCTCTCTCTCTCTCTCTCTCCTGTAGCTGTGTTTGTGTAATGTTCACCTGTAAGACAGACCTGCTTAGTATTTTTGTGATATATGCAGTAATTAAAAAATACCCTCTGTGTGTGTGTGAAGGTATTGAAGGATATCAGATATTTACCCCTTCTCATTTAGGGGTATATTCTTTAAATAATTATACTCACTACTACATTTCTGAAACTGAGCATTTCTATTTTATTTATGCCTTTTGTTTGCCTTTTCACTGAAAACATAACCAGGCATGGAAAGGGGGAGGGGGGGAGGATATCACTTTTAACCATCTACTTTGAAAGTAAGGATTTAATTTATGTGAAATATATATGTATTCATTTGTAAAGATATTTGATCAAAGAATACAAAATTCAGCTTAATGATATGATCAAGGCTTACCATGATCATAATGATTAAAGAGTCTGTATGAATGACATGAATATAATGAAAAATTTTAAAAGTATGTTCAAAAGTCAATTAGTTAATGTGTTATGTGTATACTGCTCTGTTAGCTGACTAGGCCTTCAGACCTGTGTATTTATGAAAGGTCAGTTGCATTTGAACCCCTAGATTTCCTGAGAGAGCAATGTGTTTCCCATTTACTTGATAGGATGTTCTCCAGGATAATCATGATGTTAGAATGGATCAAGATGGCATGTTGATTTTTTTTTTTTTCGGGGGAAGGTGGGATGTTTTGCATTTTTTTCTTTTAGTAAATGAGTTGTTTATTGGGATCTATGAATCTACCACCAGTAGTTCTTTTTTTCCACAAGTTTTTTTTTTTTTTTTTTTTTTACTAAAAATGTGACTGGGTTGTTAGTTACCCAAAATTTGTTCATCAAGTACACAAATGATAAGAGGTCTATGACATCCTTGACCTCCCTCTTTCCTTCTGTTCTTCCTTCCTCTGAAGTCTTTACACACCACTGGATTGTGTTAGTTCCTGTTGCATGTAGGAAATAAGACTTGAGGTTTATTCTTGCATACATAGGGCTCTTCCCATCATGTTGTCAAAGGACGATTTCATATGGTAAAAGAAATGAAGAAATATTTTGAAAAAGGTTTTGCTAAGTTGTCGTGTTTGGCTAAAAAAACAGTCAGTTGAATGACTGAAATAAAAAGTGTGCTATGTAGCATACCCAGAGAATCATGCAAACGGGGGCAACATGCTGAAATTCCTCCTCCTTCCAAATGTCCATTAACCTTAAACTATGCTTGATTATAAAGGTCGGTAGGAAGTAACATGTGCGCTGGATGAACAGCCCAGATAGAATTACATTGTTTGGAGAACAAAGTTTGTCTCCATTTACTATCACTATATGGCTCATTTACAGCTTCTATACCAAATGTTTGATAGCATTCCATCTCCTTAGCATTTTGTTTTTCTTATCAAACACTTAAATGTTTTAGTCAGATCACATTGATTTTAGCCATGACAAAAGAGAAAGCGTATATATCAAGCCATTGTCCTCTTCATGAGGTCAACTCATACCCATTAAAGTGACAGGCGAAAGGTTTTGGACAGAGTACTACACTATTTTTGACACACAGTGTACCATGGAGCAGATCTTTCCCCTGGGATTTTCAAGTTAATGTGGAATGTATTAATGAAAACAAGTTGAAATAAACTGCATTAAAGATGGCATGTTCCCTTGATATTAGATAATGTTTTGTGCAGATTTGGGGCCATCGCTTGCCAGAATGCAGTGCCCATGGAGTGGATATCTGTGAAGGGGAGACCCTATTTAGTACAGCAGTGTGATATGGTGTGGAATGCACATTGAGGCTGGCAGGGTCATTATATGCATGCTTAAAACCACACATTTCCATTAGCAGAACATTGAGACTACAAGTGGTCATACCGGAGTTTGACAGCTCTGGCAGCAAATAACAACATGAGTCTTGCTGTTAGGACATCTCCTCACCCACTACTACTAGAACATATTGCTTACTAGAATAAATTTATCAAAACAATGGATTTACTTTTTGTTCCTGACATTAACCACAAACACGCACGTATGCATGCACTCACATGCAGGTGCACATACACTCCCTCCCGTCCTTAAGGCTAAGAATTGTTTCATTGTTTTAATTGCAATATGATAAATGTTTTACCAAAGTCAATATGATAAATGATTTGCTTAAAATATGTGCAAAACCATTCAAGAACTCTTGGTGCCTTTTCCCCCCCATAGATTACATTGTGCCTCACCATTCTTTCCTCTACCTCCACCTTCCAAAATGAAATAATGTAAATATATGAATAAATCTGAGATAGAAAAAGGAGGTTTATGTACACAGTTTCTGCTGACAAGTTGGATGCCTGGCATTGGAAAGTATTTGATATTCAGCTGTGGGTTGGGGTAAGATTTAATCATTTTTTTCTCAAAAATACTGGTTTGCTTTAGCGGAAACAATCTTTTGAACCAAGGCAGTTATTAAAAGATGTGTAGTGTTTCATACTTTCATAAACCAAAGTTTAAAATGCTAAACATTTCAGTGAAATTTGTTAAGTACTCAGAAGTCTGTGTGAGTCCAGTTACAGAAGACCACTGAAGTGGTATATGTTACATTTTATAATACCAGTCTGGTTACAATACTAGTGCATCTGGGTTGTACAACCCAAGGTTAGACATGTGTCCAAGTCAGATAGCATCAAGTTAACATGGTTTCTTTTTAAAATAGGATAGTCAGCTTAAGAATGCAGTTATTACTTTTACTGTAATCTGTTCTGTTGATAAATGTATTCTTTAATAGTAATTTCTTCAGATTGGTATAGATCTACCTCTGACTATATATTTATTAAATAAT